AGAGTAACACATTGACGGGGAACAGACGATAGAGGAGTAACACATGGACGTGGAACAGTCGACAGAGGAGTAACATATTGACGGGGAACATACGACAGAGGAGTAACACATTGACGGGGAACAGTCGACAAAGGAGTAACATATTGACGGGGAACAGACGACAGAGGAGTAACACATTGACGGGGAACAGTCGACAGAGGAGTAAAACATTGACGGGGAACAGACGACAGAGGAGTAACATATTGACGGGGAACAGACGACAGAGGAGTAACATATTGACGGAGAACAGACGACAGAGGAGTAACATTTTGCATGGAACAGACGACAGAGGAGTAACACATTGACGGGAATCAGACGACAGAGGAGTAACACATTGACGGGGAACAGACGATAAAGGAATAACACATGGACGTGGAACAGTCGACAGAGGAGTAACACATTGACGGGGAACAGACGACAGAGGAGCACAAAGGGCTTGTTAATTCTATACCTGTTACATGTTAACATGGGCAACCAGTAGTATAAATATTATGTTCCCCATTGCCCTCGACCACTAAGTATGTGTGGATGGTTGGAAGGATGACTTATGAATGGATAGATGTTAACTATGACTATAAATATGTGTATTACATTGTTACCTCACTTTGGTAATAACGTATGGTACCAATACCAGAGTTACCTCCCCTACAAGACTAGCCGGTCAATTTAACTGATAGAGTTAACAAATAATGTTCTGTCATGTCCAACTTCAAAAATGGAAGTCATAAAGGCTTATCCAGCTGTTCACTCTTTCTGTTTAAAACAATAAAATATGATAAATGGAATAATCCATAAAATGTATGCCGGAGTTGAGTATATCTTTAAACACAATATGAACACAATAGTTTTGTGTTGCCAATATTTACTACCTATTCCATTTTGTTCCGATAAATGATTACATGTACGTGCTGCTACATTTACCTTTATAAACCTCCAGCCGGTAACAAAGCAGGTGCTACTGATAAGGTCCATGTCCGTATCCGCAAGTCCAGGTATCGGTTGAATATAAGTGTTGAACTTTACTCTTCCTTTTAAAGGGACATCACGTGAAAAGGCGTTTTTTTTTTAATGAATGTATGCATTGTATGCACTTCCACTTATGTTACCTCGCTATCCCCATATTCATAGTCCGTTCCAAATGTCCAGTTTGACCACTTGAATTGTTCGGGAAAGCCCTGCTAAAAATAGCGCCGATAACGTCACCTGACTAGGCAGTAAACACAAGTGGTGCGAGCGAGATGAAACGGTTTCCAAAGGGGCCCCCAGAGAGGGGCCGTCAGGCAACTGCAACTTCTTACCGCACTATGAAAC